ACGTTCCAGCCGGACGACAGCGAGCGCAGCGTTACCGTGGAATCTCATGGCAGCGAGTGTGTCGATTCCTGCGGCCCGGACCAGCCTTTCACGTCCAGCCGCCGGAACACGGCAGAATTCGAAGTGGCTTCGCCACTACCGCCACCACCGTCGCCTCGACGGTACTCCTGGTGCAAGCTAGATCCGATCATCGTCAGCCCGCGAAGACGGCTTGGGGTTGGAGCGGGGATTCGAACGAGCGGGCTCGCTCTGGGCGCGCAGGTTTGAAACGAATGGGCCGCAAGTGAAAGTCGGAAAGACTGGCGGGATGGCGGGTTCGTTGGGTGCGTGGAGCAAGGCGAGGTTGGGTGATGGCGAGCGGGAGACGTGGGAGGGATCAATGTAGTCGGGTGCCTTGATTCTGCAAGTACCTCATGGGAAGGTATGAGAGTCATATAGGATTCTCTAACGACACATCAATGTCGACTCTCAATTTCCTCGCAGGCAATGCCCGCCTGCAACAACGATTCCACGAAAGCGAGCACGGCGATCCCAGCCCTGCTGCTCTCTGCCATTGTCTGACCAAAAGCACAGACTTCTTCTTATGATAAAACAAAAGAGCTTTCATCGCCAGCAGTAAACTGACACTTACGGATTCGAGCAGCATGGGGCTCGAACCCACAGCCTTTGGTGTATCTCTGCCGAAAACCAACGCGCTACCATTGCGCCAACCGCCCGGGGAGAGGTGTGGAAGATTTGAACCTTCCCAAAGTGTGTTCTGGAACTTGACGAGCGAACACTAACACCTATGATCGTGAGATGAATTTACCGACAATCTGACGATCCCATTTGATAGAGTCACGACGAACATCCACTTCACTTTAAAATTCTGCAGCATTTAAACTCCCAGCAAGATGAGACGGATAGAGTGCTGGTGCTGGACTGAGCCTCACTGCTTGTATACACCACGTAGCAAAGCAGAATGGTTGGACTGGAGCTGATCATGTTTCTTCGTATAGGGCATGCCTACGTGACGTGGTCGTAATGGGTTCGTGGTTCGAGTCCCTTCCGAACGAATTTGGACCCTTAGCTGCTTGGTCGACAGTGGCTGAGAACAGGTCATTCTCTATCATGACTCCGGGTGTTCTTCCTCCGCGACTTGACGGTGCAATGTCGACGCTGCATGTCTCCCCTCGGCTAAGTGCGTGGAAGTAATGTACAATGCGAGTGAGATGGGACAACCGACGTATGTGGCGTAACATGGACGTCCTCGTGATGTCGTTTGGAGTTCGATGGAAGGTGGCGATGCAGCGCACGGACCGAAGCCAGCAAATGTCGGAAAAGGGGCAGAACGCGGCGGCCATGCATCTCAGCCTCATGTGCTCAGCCCAACGAACCGCCTCATTCCCACAGTCTTCGGCGTGTCGGCCGGCCTCTTGCCTTTCTTGGCCTTGACCTTCGCTTCCAAAGGGTGCTCTTTCTCCCACCGCTCGTCTTCTCTGTACGCCTCAATCGCGGTCTCTAATTCCCACTCCGCTTGCTGTAGATATAGTAAAGCGACGTCGTACCTGAGGCGAGGTGGTATACTTTGGTCAGCCCACAATCAGCCCTCCGCGTGCAAAGTCATCAGTATAGGGTCGTTGGGACTCACTCCGCGACTTTGCAAGCTACCATCCATTTCCTCACTCTTCCTCGCTTCATCTCCTCTTCCTCGCCTTCTGGTGCTTGGGGGGAGAGCGAAACGCCGCCTTTGTAGAACTCCCCGGGTATTATCACCGTTCGCCGGCCTTGAATCAGATGATCGGAGAAGACATTGTTCGCTCGTCGTAGAGCGTTGATCGGGACGTTGTAAGCGAGAGCGAGAGAGTGCAGTGAGTCTGTG